TAATTTAAAAAACGTATAATAGTATTTACCTACATAAGGAGAATCATATAACTTCTTCAAATGATAATTTCAATTACTTTAGTAATTATATAATTTTCGATTAATCAATAAAAAAAAATGCTTGCCGACGTTCGGTAGTGAGGAAGCAAAAGGAAACAGCCTTTTCTGAAGAGAAAGCAGTAAATGTTTAAAACTCAATAACTCTGCAACGAACCGTCCGATTTCGATGATTTTTTTGGGGGTATTATCAAAAATTGTGTACTTTTTTAGTTATCGTCAAATAGAATATTGAATTCATCGTAACATTTTTCAGCTTGTTTTCGGGAAAGTATGTTCTACACATAAATTAAAAGGGTTTCAAGGGGAAGACTTTAGCCAAGTTTCGTTAAAATCGGTAAAGCCGTTTTGGCGCTACAGTTTATAGCGACAGATTTTTTTTCGGCTTTGAACAGAAAAACATTTACATTTTTATTTTGTTTACATATATGAAATTATCTTAAGACAGAAGTACTATGCTAGAAACCTTCCCAGGAGTGTACAGAACAACTTCTTAAAGTTTCATGGCGATCGGTTGAATGGTTTAGTAATGCACAAAGGACAAACAGACAGACAGACAGACATACATTCATTTTTATATATATAGAAGATAAGAATAACTTTAAACACGCCTTCACACCTCCATCCATCCATTTGGCGTTTCCATTATACAATAACAATTTTCTATTATCAAACATTTAACTTTTACATTATTATATTATCACTATATCTCGTATATCAATGATGGGTTTAAATATGAATGGGTTATTAAAATTATTCCTTTAAGTAAATAAAATTTTAAAATACTTTGTGTCAAAGGGGAGATACGAACTATCTATAATCACTAAGAATATCTATAGGTTTATACTATCGATATATCGATATTACTATCGACTATCGCCCTCCATGAACAAGTGTGATCGAAGTGATTGTGACCCCTGCGATCCTCATCTAAATAATTATCTCCAAAATTTCACAATTTTTCTCTCAAATAAGTGTAATAAATCTAGTCACTTGTAATTGTATTTAATACTTAATTGTATAACGCATATATAGGACTGATAATATGATAATTAATAAATTAATCAACATACCTTAATATATCTGAAGTTGACACTGCTTCTTGCTTAAAGTAATCAGGGGCAGATCCATGAAAAAAGGAAAATTTATCCTTCCAAAATAGACACTAGGAAAAAAAAAACATTTAAAAGTTTTAAGCAATGCCATTCATTAATAATTTATCATATAATTAAATGAACAAATGTACTCACCTTCTGAGAAATCTGTACTAGATGAATCAAAGAAATGAGTTAATTACCGAGTCTACATTTAAGATATTCAATTTAAAATAGTTCGAGATATAAAATATATAAACGATTTATTGTCATTATTCACATAGACAAAGTAATATTGCTCTAAAATTCTATGTCCACTCGGATAATTCTCCTCAAAACTGGATCTGCCCCTCATTGTAATTCACTATTCACAATTTTTTTTTTCTAACACAGATTTTCTTTAAAACTCACTGTTAAAAACAAGCCGAAACTAAAACACACTTATAACCCAATAGACGCACATATTTTAAGATTACATTTCATATATTTAATAAGAAAATATACTATAAAACAGAAAACGAATCGCGACGGACGGCATTAATTCGAGAAAGATTTTGTAACTGAGAAAGCATCGTAGAAAATTAAGTTATAGAATACGACGATCTGATTGGCTGAAGCAGTCCGTTGGCTCGCAGTGAACCCAGTGTAACCAATACACATTAAATGAGAAAATAATACCATATTCTAGATATAGTTAATAATTAATAAGATTATTTAAGTTTAATATAAGCTAAAATAGACCAGATATTTTCATTTCAAAAATACATAATTTAAATAACAGTATATATAAGTACATGAAAGGAACAAGTTGAATTTATTTTGTAATTTAAAAGTTATATTAACTATTTGTTTTTAAATTAAAATTATTTTAATAAGAATTTTAAAATTATTTGATACATAAAATTTTCAGAAAAGTTAGTTTTTACTTGTGTAAAAGGATTGCAATGAAATGTGAGAGAATGAAATTAAAATCAACTAGATTTTAGCCCCACCCAAATACTATCTACTATATATTAAATAGATAGATAGAAAGTAAACTTTCTAAAAAAACAACTACATCTGGCCAAAAATTACATTAGTCAGTATTAAAGAATATATATAGTATCTTCAGTAAAATTATATTAAAACAAGTAAAAATAACACCATTTTGAAAAAAAAAAACAAAATAAAAAAAAACATTATTTAAATGAAAAGAGAACAAGATAAAATAAACATGGGTTGATTTTTAAAATTAAAACTATCAATTTTAACAACCATTCACCTCAGTCAAAATCTGTTTCGAAATATTTATTTCATTGTATAACGTCATTTTGGGATGTGAGAAGGAATTGGTAAAGATGATATTTAAATGAGGACAAGGAAGAGGCATGGCAGATATCAGAAGGCAAGCAATTCACACCTTAGGGGTGTTTATTGACCTCAAAGGTCTAAAATGGGACCAATACTATTCATCATCTTCATACCGCCAGTAGTGGCTGTCAAACATTCAAGGGCGCTGTTATCAGCCCATGGGAGGAGATTGGCATTTATGCCTGAATCTTAAATGCAGGAACCGCTCTTACCCTAGCACAGGGCTATATATATATATATATATATATATATATATATATATATATATATATATATATATATATATATATATATATATATATATTGTAATGTACACCTTTATTGGAAGTGAGTAAAAAGGGTTTAATAAATTAATGTTGAACAATTAAAAGGCAAGCTAATCTAGTTCTACTAGTGCAGGAAAAAGAAAATGGCTACTCTGTAGTTTCCCAAGAAGGAAAATCCCAAAGAGGAGAGGGACAAAGGTTTTTGTTTTGGCAAACAGTTGTTGTGTGACTGCAGTGAAGAGAGGATAGGAGAAGTGATCCTGGCTCCAGTGGGAAAACCCAGTAATAGTGTTACCAATTTGGAAGAGTTGTTTGGCAGAACTTTGGAAAGTGTTTGAAGGCAAATGAGTTCAGTGTCACAAAGGAAGAAACATATAATATAGAAAAAGGTTAGCTTGCCAATCCATATTTGACTTTATTTTAAAATCAATCAGTGTTTAATTTTAGTATAAATAGTGTAAATAATAATAGTTTGTCTGAGTTGATCTGATTGTCAGTAACCCACACCTGAGATAAATAAATATATTAATACTCTTATAATTTTGTTTTTTATTTAACAACCTCTTATTTCTTTTGGAAGTATCTTAAGGGTATAAAGTAATACGAGTAATAAATAATAAGTAAAAATAAAGGGAGTTAAAAAATAAAATAAAATGAAAGGAAGATAAATAATTCGATGTTTGTATTGAAATAGTTTATTTAATGAAAAACCTAAACTGTTTGCATTTGTTGTTACTTTACTAGTTATTATACTAATTATATTCTAATAAAAATGCCTTAAAAAATATATATATGTAATACTACAACTCATGAAGTTTATACGAAGAATTTTATATTGTCAGATTCGACTTTCTTTTTTCTTAAAATACACAGAACTTATTTTGAAGAACTTAATGTATTTTTTATTTATTTTTTTAAGTGTAAATTTATAATGTTTTGTATATAGCATTTTCAACAAATATTTTGTTATTGTTTTTATTTAGGCCAGATGTAATCTTTTAATTTTATACTATTTTGTTAATATAAAGGGATTTTGTCCCAGAATAAAGTTATTTTCAATCTATCTATCTATGAAGGGTCTTGGGTTCAGTACTATTAAGGAAAAGTACTGTTTCTTGGTCAACGATCGTGCAAGGAGGTGATTTGACCGAGATTACGCTCAATCACCAAGTTTTCCCCCTTAATAGAGCCTAGGTGTGCCCCAGGGTCGATCCATGGCTGATGAAACAGAATAAATAATTTATCTGCTATGAGCCGGGATTCGAACCTGGGACCTCGAGCATTAGAAGCTCAGCGCCCTACCTTTTTTATATTTTATGTGGTAATTGGGCACTTGCAAGTACAGGACTTTTTAATTTTCATTTGTATGCGAAGATTAGATCATAAAAATAAAACGCAAAGTCCGGAATTTTCTTAATACATATTTGAAAAGATAAGCACTTAATAAAATACATATACAAGATGACTCATAAGTAATATTTTTCATGTAAGGTGGTTACCAAATTGTGTTTAACTCCCATATTTCTGTCATAGGAATTTCTGCGTCTTTATAGAAATAGAAATAGAAATAGAAAAATCATCTTTATTCTGGGACTAGGTCCCTTTAGAATAACAGTATTGTACAAATATATTAACTACATATTACATATAATTTGACAAACTTAATGTTTCTAGCCCTAATATTAACGTTTTAATGACAATTATTAAAGCAATAAATATATTTCTTTACTTCAAACGTCAAGTTTAGTAAAAAACGTCTGGTTTGTCACTGACAAATACTGATCAATTCTTATGACACAGATTCGGGAGAAAAATACTGTTTCATAACTACTATAACTAAAAATTTTTGAAATAACAATCATATAAAACCATTATTATTTGGAAAATGGGTTAAAAAAAACTATGAACTATTCATAGTTATTTGAGTTGCTTTATTATATATTCCAAACCTTTTTTTATAATTTTTTGTTTTATTTTTTACTAAATTAAATTTCAATCTCATTAGGATCATATGTTTACTTTATCTTTGACAGTACATACAAACTGCATCATAACAATTAAAAATTGCCACCAAGACACAGCAAATTTCAAATATTTTTTATTATTGGTTTTTATAATTGAAATCAGGATGATGGACAATAAACCACATATAAATAAAGTATAAATATATTTACAAATTTACATTTTTTTTTAAATATCTTTACATAATTAACATAACTTATGACGGAATAATTTATGATTCATTAGAAAAACCAAAGACTTTAAGGCCTCCAGAGTCCCTTTTCCTATCGTACTGATCCTTATCATCGCACGCGTAGGCCAAAAGGTAGTGGTGAGGATGCCAAGCAACAGAAAATGAAGGCGACTCGACTGTCACGTCTGTGACATGGAGTCCTGTCTCGGTTTCAGATATATCGATGAACAGGTCTTCGGATGCCGACGCCAACAACTGTCCATCGTAAGAAAATGAAACAGACCTCACAGGCCAGTCCAATCTGTAAAAAAAAATTAAAGTATGTTAAAAAATAATTATGTAAGTAAATATCAAAGAATTAAATAATTTTAAAGGTTAAAATATTTTTAATTATTAAAAATATTTAATTATAATTATTATTTGATATTGATGTGGAAGACATGTGATTTAAGCAAGACAAAGCAAGATATTAGATGTTTTGCATAAAAAATTAAGAGGTCGCATTATTGCAAATCACGATAACGTCAACTGGCAGCCAAGGTCAAGCGATTAAACTTAGTTTAAGTTTTAAGCAATGTTTCATATAATTTTGCCAGAATTGATGAAAAAACATAAGAAATGAAACGTATCAAGGTGACTGTTATCGTCAAAACAATCTCCCGATATGATAACATAACCTACACCCACCGAACTGCCAATAACTTCACTGCTTCAGGAGGGGGTCAGAAAGGAGCAGTCTAGATAAGATATGATGTCATACCTATACTGCCGAGCAATGCAAACGAAAAAGGTTCCTTTCTATTCCACTAAAGCAGTGCTCAACTGCCAACAGTCACTACTGTGGGGAGTATCAGCGAAATAGTACCTTTAGACAAGCGAAGTGTAATTGTCAACAGTAAAAAAACAGAATATATGACAAAAAAATAAAGAAGTCCCAGGTTTTTTAAAATTCATAGAGCCATCGAGTGAGTGTGAATAAATATTTTTTAATTTTTGTTTAATAGTTATTTTTTCCTCCTTTCTTTCATTTTTAAAAAATATTGTAATTATAATTTTCTATTAATCATGTATTATAATAAAAAATACTAAATCTTCAGATATATTGCATAAATAAAAAGAAATGTCGAAAAACAAAACAATTTCATTTCTATTTATTTATTATTGTTTACGTATTTATTTATAAAAGTACTATACTTTATTTATGGAATTACGAAAATAGGCATCAGTACAAAAGAACTTTCCTCATATTATATAGGTAGAACGAAAGTTAGTTTTTGTATTAACATCATGTGCCTGAACTCGAATCAAGTAAGTAGTCTGCGGTATAGGTGCCTTTTTATCAAATTATTAATATCTGCCTAAAACTCTCATTGTAACCTACAACTTTTTATCCATGGAGTTGGAACGTTTTCAATCTGGAGATCGGTAAACTTTGTCCATTTAATTAGGTATTAAAAACTAATGAACACCCATTTGCTTTCCTGTTGAATCGTCAGATAATTTGACCACAAAATCAAGAAAAAAGTGGCCTGGAATTTACCTCTCACCTTCTGTCCCGGCATAACAAGCTGCATCTCTATAAAACGCTAATCCCCCCAGTCCTGCTCTATGCTTCAGAAACATGGACGACGACTAAAAAAATTGAACAAGACCTAATCTTTGAGAGAAAAATTCTATGAAGAATATTTGAAGGAGTACAGATTGATGGAAATTGGAGAAGATGGACAAATGCCAAAATTTTCTCAACTTTTAATGATCAAGATGTCGTTCTGAGGATGAAGCTGAGAAGATTAAGATGGGCTGACCATGTGGGAAGGCACAAGAAGAAGAGGGAGACGAAAACTAAGATGGTCAGACGGTGTGGCAGGAGATTCAGGGATATCCTGGGAGTCAGCAGCTGGATGATGGCCGCACAGAACAGAGATGACTGGATGAAAATGGTGGAGGAGGACAAGACTCGTCACCGAGTTGTAGCGCCGACTAATAAAAAATAATAAAATAAACTAACCCCCGTTACTTAAGTTATATTTAAAAAATTTACATTATTTTTGTTAGATAATTAGTTGATAAAATTTAATCGAAAGTATTTATCGCATATTTTTGTTATAATAAAACAATTGTATCATTTTTAGAGTTTGAAAAAATGACGACCACTCAGAACAAAGTTTACTAGAGTAATTTATACACAATTATAATTGTATAAATTGTAAATGTTACAACTACTTTGTGAATATCGAACAAAAATTAGTTGATACACAACTATAATTATATATATTGTAAATGTTATTACTTTGTGAATATAGGAAAAAAAATTTAATATTTCATATAATTAACCTCGCCTTTGAAGTTTTCACTTCTATTATGCGGTCTAAAGCAAATGTCTTAGTTTCTTTTAACTTTCACTTTCCTCTATATGCAATATATAGCAAGGGTAAGTACTGTAATTGTGAAAATTTTCGAACCTGAGTTTTCAAAAGAAATACATTTTTTTGAGGTCTCCTGAGTCCAAGTAACCAAGTCCTGCAAAATGCTCTGTGTCTGTGTGTGTGTGTTTGTATGTATTTGATCAGTCTAGCTCAAAAAGGAAAAGCCGTATGAAAGTGAATTTGAATATTTAAGCTTTTTATAAGCCTTCGATGTTACAGCAATATTTCCATCAAAATCAGTAAATCGGAAGTGGTACTTTACATAATCGATTTAACACATTTTTACGATTTTATAAAAAACGACTCCAACAATTTAGATTAAACTCAATATATCAGTTTTTTTTTATATTTCAATAAGCAGTTTTTAATATAAAGTAGGTTTCATTCTCATTGATGTTCTATAACAGGGCTTATTAAATGTCTAATTTTCATTATTAGCTTCTTCTAAAGTATATTTCATTTTTTTTGTTTGAAATAATTAACCATTTAACAATAATCTTTGATATAAAAAATATTTAAATATAAAATATGAAAGAATAGAAATATATAAAATTGATATTTACTTAATTATCTGTTAATGAATCCCTTACTTTCCTCCAAATTTGAGCCAAATCGAACGTGCGGTTTTAGAGATGTAGAAGTATCAAGGAAAACATGTTTGCGCATAAATAAGAGAAAATAGTGGACAGATTTCAATGAAATTGATACTGCCTGATTTTTTTATCAATATCTATATTTTATCTAACTTTGAGCCAAATCGAACGAGACTTTTCTGAAATATTGACTTATCTAAAAAAAATACGTTTGCGCGTGTAAAAGCGGAACCGCTTGATGGAATTTGATGAAATTGAAATATGACACCGACTCTCACAATCCTGGAAAATTTCATGAAAATCGGATTAACGGTAGTTGGTGATATGGCCGTTACATATATTTGACTACAGACAGACAGACGCCGAACCAAATTTGATCCTTGATGTCTGAAAAGTAAAACACGAGTGGAAATTTTCAATTCTGAACACACAATTTTTTTTAACCTCACTCACGAACACAATGCTTCCCTATCTTTGGTAGTGAGGAAGCAACAAATTCTAAATCTTCAGATATAGTGTGTAAATGAAAAACAAAAAATTTTCATTTGTTTTTATTTATTATGGTATACATATTTGTTTACATAAGTATTAATCCTATATTTATGTAATTATTGGGACATTTCATATGAAATGTCCATTTTTATTATTTCAAAAATTCAAAGTGGTATTTTTTTCATTTTGTATAGAATTTAGTATTATAATTATAATTTTATATAAATCATGTATTATAATAAAAAATACTAAATCTTCAGATATATTGCATAAATAAAAAAGAAATGTTCAAAAACGAAACAATTTTATTTCTGATGTAGAGATGGTTGACTGTTGATATAATTTGAGAAGGAGTTAGTTATTTAAAAAAAATACTTTTAAATAAAAATTAAAAAATATTTATTCACACTCGCTCGATGGCTCTATGAATTTTAAAAAAACTGTTACTTCTTTACAATATTTTTGTCATATATTCTGTTTTTTTAATGTTGGCAATTACACTTAGCTTGTCTAAAGGTACTATTTCGGTTGTACTTCCCATGGCAGTGGCTATTAGCTGTTGAGCACTATCGAGTGCAACAGAAAATCAAATAGAAACACATAATTTATTATTTTTATGACTAATTACTAAATTGACTTTTGCAAATTTGTTTCTGAGTTCTCTATGGTATTTAAGTTTTGAGATATTTTAGTCCAAATGTTAAAAACAGCTGTTATTATTTGAATTTTTAATGCTTCCTCATTCTTGTTATTGTGGGATGGCAACCTTCTGATAGCGCTGCCAGGTATAGTCGATGGTACAGATCCCTTTTTATCAAATTATTAACTTCTCCCTAAAACTTGGTAAATGGCTAGTTCTTATCGTAAATAAAAAATTTTGTATCTACAAAAATTCTGAGAAATAGAAAGTTTTCTCATCAAAATAAATAATTTAATGAGGTACTAAAAACATAAAAATACCAATTTGATTTCCACTTGAATTATTGTATATGATAATTTGATCGCAAAAACGATAAACAAGTTTGGCTACAAAAATATTGGGCCGTTTGGCCTAAATAACCTCATTTTTTTGACATGGGGCAGTGGTTACGCCAAACGGCCCAATATTTTATTAGATTAGCAGTGTTTCAACTGCCTCCTGCAGTGCCACATCCTAAACCCTGAAGACGACCTGCAAAGTGGATCGAAACGTCGGCAAAAATTAAAATAATTTATATATTTTAATTTTTTTATTTATTTGACCGCACCCCGACTAACTCCTTCTCAATTTTATTTCTATTTATTTATTATGGTTTACATATTTATTTACAAAAGTATTATACTTTATTTATGGAATTACGAAAATAGGCATCAGTACAAAAGAACTTTCCTCATATTATATAGGTAGAACGAAAGTTAGTTTTTGTATTAACATCATGTGCCTGAACTCGAACCAAGTAATACTGAGAACAAGTTAGTAGTCTGCGATATAGGTGCCTTATTATCAAATTATTAATATCCGCCTAAAAGTCATTGTAACCTACAACTTTTTTATTCATGAAGTTGGGACGTTTTCAATCTGGAGATCAGCAAACTTTGTCCATTTAATTAGGTATTAAAAACTTATGAACACCCATTTGCTTTCCTCTTGAATCGTCAGATAATTTGAACACAAAATCACGAAAAAAGTGGCCTACAAAAATATTGGGCCGTTTGGCGTAACCACTGCCCCATGTCAAAAAAATGAGGTTATTTAGGCCAAACGGCCCAATATTTTTGTAGCCAAACTTGTTTATCGTTTTTGCGATCAAATTATCATATACAATAATTCAAGTGGAAATCAAATTGGTATTTTTATGTTTTTAGTACCTCATTAAATTATTTATTTTGATGAGAAAACTTTCTATTTCTCAGAATTTTTGTAGATACAAAATTTTTTATTTACGATAAGAACTAGCCATTTACCAAGTTTTAGGAAGAAGTTAATAATTTGATATAAAGGGATCTGTACCATCGACTATACCTGGCAGCGCTATCAGAAGGTTGCCATCCCACAATAACAAGAATGAGGAAGCATTAAAAATTCAAATAATAACAGCTGTTTTTAACATTTGGACTAAAATATCTCAAAACTTAAATACTATAGAGAACTCAGAAACAAATTTGCAAAAGTCAATTTAGTAATTAGTCATAAAAATAATAAATTATGTGTTTCTATTTGATTTTCTGTTGCACTCGATAGTGCTCAACAGCTAATAGCCACTGCCATGGGAAGTACAACCGAAATAGTACCTTTAGACAAGCTAAGTGTAATTGCCAACATTAAAAAAACAGAATATATGACAAAAATATTGTAAAGAAGTAACAGTTTTTTTAAAATTCATAGAGCCATCGAGCGAGTGTGAATAAATATTTTTTAATTTTTGTTTAAAAGTATTTTTTTGCTATTACTTGGGCCAAAAGTAAAGAATTTAATAAGTGAACTTAATAAGGGAATAACTGAAAAGTAACAATGCAATAACTCAAAGGCTTGGTGGGATAAGAAGAAGGAGGTTATGTGACACGACGTTAGATAAAATAGATAAGAAGTGAGGTTTCAGGACGGCCCGCTAGACAAAAAATACCATAAATTTTAAAATTTTAATTCAGTAGGTAATTACAAACTATATGTGAAATAATAATACAAGTGATGTTTCAATGGATTTCCCAGGCCCTCCAATTTTCCTAGTTGACCTGTATAACACGTTATCGGCACTAAACTCTCTTAAAAATTTGTTCCACATTATGATATATCTGTTCGAAAGTTTCAGCTGCTCTTCATTTCATGACCTTCTTCTTCACAATACTTCACCTTTGCAATTATCCCGGCGACTTGAAAATATTTGATAGCCTCTTCTTCTGAAGACGGCAATACCCACAATGTAATAACATCCATTTCAACCATAAACAATCAAACAAAAATAACCAATGCAATAACGCAAATGCAACGACTTACACAAGAAAAAAAGGCAGGTTATGTGACGTAACATAAGATAAGAAGGTGACGTAAGATGAGATAAGAAGGAAGGTTAATCGGTACCCCATTCATGGTATTTGAGCATGCCAGGAGCTGATATTAGGTAAAAACCACATTTCGAGCCTTACCTCAATAATATATGTGGGGATAAACACAATAAGAAAGAAGTTAGATAAAAACAAACATTAAGCTATAATGATGTACCTTGTAAACACTCGCACACATGCCATATCTTCAATATCCCACAGTGAAACTAGAGCATCTGCAGAACCCGTAGCAAAGTACCTGAAGAAAAAACAATAAATAAATAAAAATATACACTGACAAAATAATAATGTTTTATGTTTCATAAAATATTACAAGAATTAGTATTTTGGATATATTCTCTTTGATTACTTAATGATTTATCCATAGAATTTTATATACATATATTTTTTAGATTTCAGTATACACCAATTTAATTGAAATAATTTTAATTCTTGAGTTCTACCAATGGGTAGTTCCTCTTCATGTTGTACATGTCATGTTACCAATGTTACATTTACTTTTTGTATTTTTCATGTAATACTACAGTTGTAAATTTCATTAAAATAAAAAAAAATAATAAAAATAAAAAAATTAATTCTAAAAATATGAGGAAGTATTACATATGGAATATAGGAATTCAGGAAATGATTTAACAGAATGAAAATTGATACAATATATCCTGATGATAGAGGAGTACCCTCAAACCTAGAAAAGCTAAATGTAAAATTTAATAAATGAATTGTAAAGGAAGATAATTCAATCAGTACATATACAGGGTGTCCCGTAAGTAGAGAGAAATTTTTATAGGAGTGATATCAGACCTCGAGAGCTACAGAAAAAGTTCATATAAACAATGGGCCAATTTTCAAGAGAAAAGTAGGAAATTCAAGTTTTGTGTTTTTTTAAAGTAATTAAACATTGTTTCATAGTAAAATAGAAGAAATTTATTTTTTAAAAAAGTAGAGTTTTTCATTGTTAAAACTATTTATAAAGAGAACTATTGAGCTGTCAAACTCAGGTAAGTTCCGTTTAAAAAAACCCATAAATTATAAATTACACTGGGCAACAATGAAAATGTTTCGGGTTCAAAAATAGTCAATTCATATGTATTTCCATCTGCTGAATTAAAAAATCACTATAAAAATGACAGATTATCTCTTGCTTTGGAGATGAAGTGACATTTCATTTGTTGGTCAACATAAAAGTCATTTTTATTCGCTCTGTCTGACACTGATCTAGAATAAACCTAGAGAGCAACACAAGAGCGTTGACGTACCAAATTATTCATTCTGTATCACTAATATTAATGTCTCTTCCATATCATTATAATACAATAACTGTTACAATTGCTTAGTTCTCAGGACAAATATATGCACATGAGAGTGGACAAAAGTGATTTTTATTCGCTCTGTCTGACACTGATCTAGAATAAACCTAGAGAGCAACACAAAAGCGTTGATGTACCAAATTATTTATTCTGTATCACTAATATTAATGTCTCTTCCATATCATTATAATACAATAACTGTTACAATTGCTTAGTTCTCAGGACAAATATATGCACATGAGAGTGGACAAAAGTGATTTTTATTCGCTCTGTCTGACACTGATCTAGAATAAACCTAGAGAGCAACACAAGAGCGTTGACGTACCAAATTATTCATTCTGTATCACTAACATTAATGTCTCTTCCATATCATTATAATACAATAACTGTTACAATTGCTTAGTTCTCAGGACAAATATATGCACATGAGAGTGGACAAAAGTGATTTTTATTCGCTCTGTCTGACACTGATCTAGAATAAACCTAGAGAGCAACACAAGAGCGTTGACGTACCAAATTATTCATTCTGTATCACTAATATTAATGTCTCTTCCATATCATTATAATACAATAACTGTTACAATTGCTTAGTTCTCAGGACAAATATATGCACATGAGAGTGGACAAAAGTGATTTTTATTCGCTCTGTCTGACACTGATCTAGAATAAACCTAGAGAGCAACACAAGAGCGTTGACGTACCAAATTATTCATTTTGTATCACTAATATTAATGTCTCTTCCATATCATTATAATACAATAACTGTTACAATTGCTTAGTTCTCAGGACAAATATATGCACATGAGAGTGGACAAAAGTGATTTTTATTCGCTCTGTCTGACACTGATCTAGAATAAACCTAGAGAGCAACACAAGAGCGTTGACGTACCAAATTATTCATTCTGTATCACTAACATTAATGTCTCTTCCATATCATTATAATACAATAACTGTTACAATTGCTTAGTTCTCAGGACAAATATATGCACATGAGAGTGGACAAAAGTGATTTTTATTCGCTCTGTCTGACACTGATCTAGAATAAACCTAGAGAGCAACACAAGAGCGTTGATGTACCAAATTATTCATTCTGTATCACTAACATTAATGTCTCTTCCATATCATTATAATACAATAACTGTTACAACTGCTTAGTTCTCATGACAAACATATGCACATGAGAGTGGACAAAAGTGATGTACCAAATTATTTATTCTGTATCACTAACATTAATGTCTCTTCCATATCATTATAATACAATAACTGTTACAATTGCTTAGTTCTCAGGACAAATATATGCACATGAGAGTGGACAAAAGTGATTTTTATTCGCTCTGTCTGACACTGATCTAGAATAAACCTAGAGAGCAACACAAGAGCGTTGACGTACCAAATTATTCATTCTGTATCACTAATATTAATGTCTCTTCCATATCATTATAATACAATAACTGTTACAATTGCTTAGTTCTCAGGACAAATATATGCACATGAGAGTGGACAAAAGTGATTTTTATTCGCTCTGTCTGACACTGATCTAGAATAAACCTAGAGAGCAACACAAGAGCGTTGACGTACCAAATTATTCATTCTGTATCACTAATATTAATGTCTCTTCCATATCATTATAATACAATAACTGTTACAATTGCTTAGTTCTCAGGACAAATATATGCACATGAGAGTGGACAAAAGTGATTTTTATTCGCTCTGTCTGACACTGATCTAGAATAAACCTAGAGAGCAACACAAGAGCGTTGACGTACCAAATTATTCATTTTGTATCACTAATATTAATGTCTCTTCCATATCATTATAATACAATAACTGTTACAATTGTTTAGTTCTCAGGACAAATATATGCACATGAGAGTGGACAAAAGTGATTTTTATTCGCTCTGTCTGACACTGATCTAGAATAAACCTAGAGAGCAACACAAGAGCGTTGACGTACCAAATTATTCATTCTGTATCACTAATATTAATGTCTCTTCCATATCATTATAATACAATAACTGTTACAATTGTTTAGTTCTCAGGACAAATATATGCACATGAGAGTGGACAAAAGTGATTTTTATTCGCTCTGTCTGACACTGATCTAGAATAAACCTAGAGAGCAACACAAAAGCGTTGACGTACCAAATTATTCATTTTGTATCACTAATATTTATGTCTCTTCCATATCACTATAATACAATAACTGTTACAATTGCTTAGTTCTCAGGACAAATATATGCACATGAGAGTGGACAAAAGTGATTTTTATTCGCTCTGTCTGACACTGATCTAGAATAAACCTAGAGAGCAACACAAGAGCGTTGACGTACCAAATTATTCATTCTGTATCACTAACATTAATGTCTCTTCCATATCATTATAATACAATAACTGTTACAATTGCTTAGTTCTCAGGACAAATATATGCACATGAGAGTGGACAAAAGTGATTTTTATTCGCTCTGTCTGACACTGATCTAGAATAAACCTAGAGAGCAACACAAGAGCGTTGATGTACCAAATTATTTATTCTGTATCACTTATATTAATGTCTCCTCCATATCATTATAATACAATAACTGTTACAATTGCTTAGTTCTCAGGACAAATATATGCACATGAGAGTGGACAAAAGTGATTTTTATTCGCTCTGTCTGACACTGATCTAGAATAAACCTAGAGAGCAACACAAGAGCGTTGACGTACCAAATTATTCATTTTGTATCACTAATATTAGTGTCTCTTCCATATCATTATAATACAATAACTGTTACAATTGCTTAGTTCTCAGAACAAATATATGCACATGAGAGTGGACAAAAGTTATTTTTATTCGCTCTGTCTGACACTGATCTAGAATAAACCTAGAGAGCAACACAAGAGCGTTGACGTACCAAATTATTCATTTTGTATCACTAATATTAATGTCTCTTCCATATCATTATAATACAATAACTGTTACAATTGTTTAGTTCTCAGGACAAATATATGCACATGAGAGTGGACAAAAGTGATTTTTATTCGCTCTGTCTGACACTGATCTAGAATAAACCTAGAGAGCAACACAAGAGCGTTGACGTACCAAATTATTCATTCTGTATCACTAACATTAATGTCTCTTCCATATCATTATAATACAATAACTGTTACAATTGCTTAGTTCTCAGGACAAATATATGCACATGAGAGTGGACAAAAGTGATTTTTATTCGCTCTGTCTGACACTGATCTAGAATAAACCTAGAGAGCAACACAAGAGCGTTGACGTACCAAATTATTCATTCTGTATCACTAACATTAATGTCTCTTCCATATCATTATAATACAATAACTGTTACAACTGCTTAGTTCTCATGACAAACATATGCACATGAGAGTGGACAAAAAGGTGATGTACCAAATTATTTATTCTGTATCACTAACATTAATGTCTCTTCCATATCATTATAATACAATAACTGTTACAATTGCTTAGTTCTCAGGACAAATATATGCACATGAGAGTGGACAAAAGTGATTTTTATTCGCTCTGTCTGACACTGATCTAGAATAAACCTAGAGAGCAACACAAAAGCGTTGATGTACCAAATTATTTATTCTGTATCACTAATATTAATGTCTCTTCCATATCATTATAATACAATAACTGTTACAATTGCTTAGTTCTCAGGACAAATATATGCACATGAGAGTGGACAAAAGTGATTTTTATTCGCTCTGTCTGACACTGATCTAGAATAAACCTAGAGAGCAACACAAGAGCGTTGATGTACCAAATTATTTATTCTGTATCACTAACATTAATGTCTCTTCCATATCATTATAATACAATAACTGTTACAACTGCTTAGTTCTCATGACAAACATATGCACATGAGAGTGGACAAAAGTGATGTACCAAATTATTTATTCTGTATCACTAACATTAATGTCTCTTCCATATCATTATAATACAATAACTGTTACAATTGTTTAGTTCTCAGGACAAATATATGCACATGAGAGTGGACAAAAGTGATTTTATTCGCTCTGTCTGACACTGATCTAGAATAAACCTAGAGAGCAACACAAGAGCGTTGATGTACCAAATTATTTATTCTGTATCACTAACATTAATGTCTCTTCCATATCATTATAATACAATAACTGTTACAATTGCTTAGTTCTCAGGACAAATATATGCACACGAGAGTGGACAAAAGTTATTTTTATTCGCTCTGTCTGACACTGATCTAGAATAAACCTAGAGAGCAACACAAAAGCGTTGACGTACCAAATTATTCATTCTGTATCACTAATATTAATGTCTCTTCCATATCATTATAATACAATAACTGTTACAATTGCTTAGTTCTCAGGACAAATATATGCACACGAGAGTGGACAAAAGTTATTTTTATTCGCTCTGTCTGACACTGATCTAAAATAAACCTAGAGAGCAACACAAGAGCGTTGACGTACCAAATTTTTTATTCTGTATCACTAATATTAATGTCTCTTCCATACCATTATAATACAATCACTGTTACAATTGCTTAGTTCTCAGGACAAATATATGCACATGAGAGTGGACAAAAGTTATTTTTATTCGCTCTGTCTGACACTGATCTAGAATAAACCTAGAGAGCAACACAAGAGCGTTGACGTACCAAATTATTCATTCTGTATCACTAATATTAATGTCTCTTCCATATCATTATAATACAATAACTGTTACAATTGTTTATTTATTAGACAATGTAATAATTAATAATAAAATATAAATGGTAGATTAATAATGTAATTCTATATTAATCTGGATCAACAATTGGAATGGAGGCAGGATTTTTTATTTTATTTTTTATAGTATCTATATTTTTTATAGTAGAGGAACTAATAAACTTATTCTATCCAGTGTGAAAAGTTTAAGATTAATGCATGGATCAGCCACAATATAAATTTAAAACTGTCGATGCCGGATTGATTTAAACCATCTTAGCTTGTGGATTCTATGATATTGCATAATTGTTGATTGTAGAAGATACATTGAAGGGAGGTAGATTGGAGTTTTCGATTAAAGAAGTAAAAAATAAATAAATTATATATTTTTTTATTTCATTTGTGCCTATGTTTTAGCTTAAGTTTTAGGGCTTCATCGGGCTTACTCAAAGATGTACTAAAGCGAATAGTCCAGAAACTTAAGCCCAAATGGTGGCAGAAAGGAAATAATAATATATATAATTTATTAATTTTTATTTTGTACTTTCATTGACTGAAAATTCCAACCAATCACTTTTCAGCATTTCTGCTAGGCTCAAGAATGTAACGTTTTAATACACAAGCCCATAATTGACGCTCAGATTGTATATAAATAAAATATAACTAACTACATAAAAAACTCTTAATAACTAACAGAGAAGAATTTATTCTTATTCATAATAAAATTTAAACTTACTTTCCGCTAGGACTCATATCGATACAGATGCAGGTTCCTGGGTGTGCTTTAACTACTTCTAAAGTTTTCAATTCTGGAAACCTGAAAAATAACGGCATTATATGAAACATTTTGAAAAAGGGCAACTTGAAAACAGATGGCCAAAAACTCATTAACTCTAAACTTATCGGATAAAATATTCAGCGGCTTATAGTAAAATTAATAAAGAGAGCCAGAATCAGATGGTTAGGTCATATGGAAAGAATGCCAAAGAAGATGCTGCATGAGAAGCCGGATGGCAAAAGAAGTAGAGCGCGCCCTCGGATCAGATGGCTTACAGTGGCTTAATAATAATACAGTGGGGTCATATGGAGTCGATTTCTGATTGGTCAGCCACCTTGGTTCGTCCCTTGCTATCTGCTTACTTTCTAGGCATCTCAAAACTGTTAAATTTTCATATTTTATTAGCAGTATTTTAGTTTAGAAGCTTAATTTTGATGTTTAAGTGATAGGTTTAGTTTATTAATAGGTAGTTTTTATTGAATAGTTATAAGTTTTAGTGTTTTCAGTGATAGGTTTCATCTTCACAGACTCTTATTTTATTAGTGATATTTGTTGTATATTATTTATTAGAGATAATTGAATTGTTTTAGTTCTAGATTTAGTTTACTAATAGGTGAGTTTTAATTAATAGTTATACATATTAGTGTTTAAAGTGATAAGTGTGGTTTCTTGTTCATAGACTTAAAATCATGAGTATACTTTAATTTTTTACTTTATTTTACTAATTTTCCTTTTTAATTCAGTAGTAATGAAAGAAAAAGATGGAAATCAAGTTTGAAACATGGTTAAATGAAGGTAGTGTCTATAATTCGAGGCTATCAGCTGATACAATTTTTATTTTGAAGTCAGTGGTTTCAAGTATAAAATTGAAATTTGGTTTTCCTTTATAGTTATTGTTACTTTCATCATTAAAATATGAGTATAGTTGATGATCCTTAGCTTTATTGAGATCTCGAGTAAATAAAAGTAGTTTTCTTTTATTCCAGAATAAGTGCAATGATACTCATCATCATTGATTTTTAAGAAATAGATTGTTGTGCTGCAAAAGTTCTGAAATTAAATCATTATTTTTCTTATTATTGAAGTTCTAAAACTGTTAATGTTTATTCAAGATGTTTTTCTATCATTTAAGGATCAACTATACTCAATTTAACAATGATTTAAGGATCATCAACTACCCTCATATTTTTAATATTGAAAGCAACAAAATCTATGAAGGAAAACCAAATTTCAATTTTATACTTGAAACCACTGACTTCAAAATAAAAATTGTATCAGCTAATAGCCTCAAAATATAAAAATATCTTCTATAACAAAGTTTCAAACTTAATTTCCATCTTTTTCTTTTATAACCACTGAATTACAAAGGAAAATCAATAAAATAAAGTAACAAATTAAAGGATTAAGTCATTTTCAAAACCTATATGAGCCAAATCAACTCAGTAAGAGGTGATTTAAGAGGATTTTTAACATAGAAAAATGAGTTCTGTTGTTGAAGAACACATAATTAATTGTCACAATATTAAAGATAGTATTCTTAAGAGGTTTATTGTAGTTAGACTACGGATAAATTCAATAAGTAAAAAAGAATTTCGCTCATATTTCTGTTTTTAGCAGTATATCTGTAAATGTATATGTGTAGTATTTTTAAATTTGAATTCCTTTGTTGATTAAAAATGTTTTATTTTTCAAGTTATATTGGAAAGCTCTTCAATCAATTGATAATTGATTGTATTTTATCCTCACAGTTTTATGTTTCACTATTAATTATTTTTACTTGGTATATCCTGTGATACAATTGAAAATATATTATAGCCAACAACCTCTAATTTCCCAAAAAAGTAATGAAAAATAAATAAAACAAGGGAAAGCTTAGATTCTGGACTAATGGAAAATTCAGGTGTGACGAACATTATTACAATTTATCATATAATTATTAATGCATTTCATTGATAACAGGTATATTGATACAAAAACTAAGTTATACCACTCCGAAACAAATACTCTCCTTTAACAGGCTTAAAAGTAAAATGATCAATTTTTTTTCTACAATATCTACATTATGGTAAGAGGTAAACCATTTCATAAAAAATACTTTATATCAATGTTCAGAAATGAATCTATTGATTGAGGAGAAAATTTTAACTATTTAAATTTGTAATAATAGTGAATTTATAATATTTAGTATTGTCCAAAATAGTTCTTGGTAATGTACTTTGCAAGACCAAGACTAAGGCCGTCTAACTGTTGCAAGACCAAGACCGAGACTGGTAAAAAAAATCCTTTTTATGAATAAAAATTAAGGTAAAATAGTCACTCAAACTTGAAAAATTTAATAACCAATATCCTTTGGAATTTAACTCTCAATTTTTTATTCGTGCTTAGTTAGGTTTCCCATATCTGAAAAATTACAGTAATGTCTGTATAATAATAAGCTAATAGGTAACTGGAAGAGTATTGCGAGACACACAAGACCAAGACAGTGTGCAAGACTAAGACCCATCATGGTCTCACATTTGGGCAACACTAGTTGTGGTGTTCAGTCACAAGTAACAAAGTGAAAATAAATAATTATATTTATTAAATTTACATTAAATAATTTATATATATTAAATAATTTATTTGTATTAAATTTACATTAAATAATTTGTATTTATTAAATTTATATTAAATAATTTATATTAATTAAACTTACATTAAAGTTTTGTTTTTTTCAAAGGAGAATATTAAGAAGAAAAATAAAAATAGTTTCATGGTTGCTGACTTAGAATCGAGTTACTGGTTTTCCAATGAAAGTTAATTTTCACTCAGTTTTTGTTTAATGAGAGAATGAAATTAATAAAATGGAATTCGCAATATGCCAAAGTTTATTGAAATATATTTTAAAAGAAGTTAAATAGAAAAAAACAAAATATCGTTCTTTGATTTTATTATTTACTTCCGTGTGATATAAGTGATTCATATGTTTCATTCAACTTGCCCAACTTTAAATCTATCTCCCAAACCGTTCTAGTTAATAGTTTGTTACATTAATTACTTTTTAAATTGAAATAACAGAGAGAAACTATTCAAATATTAGTTTCCCGCCTATCCTATATGGCCGCACTGTATTATTAAGCCACTGTTAGATGGCTGGAGGATGTTGAGGACGATCTGAGGCAGCTGGGCGTTCAAAGATGGAGGGAAGTAGCACAAGACCGTGGAGATCGGTTGGCTGTAGTAGAGGAGGTTCTCGCAGGACCATAGCGCCATTATAATAATAATAATAATAGTCAAATTTACTTAAGTAATGTATCTTTAATCCATTACAGTGCAGTCTCATTAATATAATGTATAGGATGTGTGTTCCCACCATTTTTATAAAAAATGAAAATTTTATTTATAAAAAACGGTCAGACATAGGTCATTCAAAGCATAGTCCAACGCTAACCAGTACTTCATCTTTCAGATAACATACGAATTTCCATGTTGAAAAAAAGAAACATTTTTTAAGGCAATCCAGTCATCGACCCACTTTTTAGTTTTGTCATAACAATAAACGCACTGCTGAGCCACATTGTGTCATGAGTCAGCGATCGGAAAAGGTGGTAGTTGGAAAGAGCAATGTCTGGTTAATAAGGCGGGTAGGGCAGAACTTCCCGTTTCTATGTTTTCAAATAAAATTTAACCAGGTTAGCAACATGAGGTCAAACGGAGCAAAAGAGACCACAATATCATACAGTAAAATTACCTAATAGTGTCTCTGCCGATATTGTGGTCGGTTTTGCTTCGGATCTTGGCTCAAAGGCATCAATTGAAGCAGCTTATTTTTTTCTTTTTGGGGCACCTGGATGGTTCATCTCAGAGATCAAAAACATTTTTTTTAAAGTGTTGAAATCATACTCTGCGTGTTTTTTCTGATGAAGCATGATAATTCACAAAAGAATTATATGACTTTCAGCTGCAATTTTCTTTTGGAAAAAATAGTATAATAAAATTTTCAGCAAAACCGGTTTTGAGGGTACGAAATTTTCCATGTTTCAAGAAATTGTATTGCGAACCCTATACGATAATTCATGAATGACAGACAAGGATTGCTTCAATTATGATGATCCTTACACGTATCAATCACACTGACGCACTTAAACTCAGTTGACATTGAGATAACAGGCAGTGTGGATCTGGTTGTTTATAATAATAATCACATTTATAATAACGTGATTCATTAAAAAGGCTAATTTAGCCATTATCCTTAATAGCATTGGGCAACGAGAGAAAAATGGAGATAAAATAATTGCTTCATAGTGCCTGAAAATCGTTTTGACAAAAGTTAGAAAAATATAAGTCTACTACTTACAAAAATTAAGGAAAAGTATTGCGAAAATAATAAATTTGTTGAAAAAAATGGAAAAAGAACTGACAACAGTTAAAGATTACTTTTTTTCTATAAGCACATTGTGAAGTTTCCACCTTTATTTAAAATTTATTCCCCAGTTGACTATTTAAAAAAAAAATTAGTTGAAGATGGTTGATAAAACTATAAACAAGGGATATGAAAATCAGGAATTTACAATGGTTATGAGGTCTAGATAAACTAACCTATTTAGTAGTAACGTAAGTCTCCCCACCATTTTTACCTTTGTCTCCCCTCCACTTCTCTCGATTGAACTTTTGATTTCCGGACTTTTGGGAATCCGGCAGACATGTCCATCAGTATCTTACACGATTAATCAGAACGTCAATAGTGCCTCGGAACACAATTCCGAATGACCATGTTAGGTCGGCATATACACTCTGAGGATTTAAAATGGACTGATAACCCGAGTACAGAGGATTACCTCTTGAATAAAGTTGATTTCAATGTTGCCAGATACACATATGTAAACAGAAATTCTCCAAATAACAACTTATTCACACAGCCAATAATAAAACACAAATTAAAAAGCCCATAAATAATAAATTCCAATTCAGCAACTAACAACAGCATACATTTTTAAAAATAGAAATGAAAATTTTACTTGCTCCATTAATTTTGATAAGTATAATTCAATAATATTTCATTTTAAACTGTTTAAATTAATTTTTAAAGTATATTCTTAAATAACACAATTTCAATTATATGAGGATAACAGAAGAAAACAGGTACTAATTTTTTTTTCAAAACTAAATTATTAAAAATAAATTAAGGAAAACACAGCACCCGAATCAGGTCACATGCGTATAAGATCAGTTTTGTCCCTATTAAAAATTGGTGAAAAAAAGTACATATATATTCTGATATATTCAATTAAAATATATTTAAATATTCTGAAGCCTGTTTTTCCCCAATGGTCTTCTCAACTATGCACTTATTGAAAACTTCTTAACAGACAGTTAAAAGTTTATCTACTTTATAAAAGTTATTGTTCACATTCAGGGTTTCTATATTTATTTAGCTAAGTATATTTGGGGTTTCTATATTTATTTAGCTAAATATATTTTGTAAGAAAACAAAAAACATTCACAGAACTTACCCAAGAACATGAATGGAACCTTGACCGCTGGTTAAAAAGAATTCTGTAGTCTCTAGGTTCCATTTGATTTCGTTGACTTCAAAATTAAACTGTTTCTCAATTCTTATTTTAAATGTCCTTACGTCGATGAATGAAATGAGATCTTCTTTGTTACCGACAGCAATCATTTTGCCATTGGGTGCCCATGTTATGTTAATATTTTCACCTGAAATATATTAAGGGAGAAAAAAAATTATTTTAAAATCGTAGATAATAATTAGTGAAAATGTCACTCTAACATTGTGACAGGGCCAAGATCATATTGTCACACCTTAGATGGAAACCAAAAAGTAGTCCAACATTAACTGAAATGGCCAAAATCAAGATTGGGCATACTTTTATTATTTTTAAACAAAGGTAGCAAGCACAAGTCAAAAGTCGCTATCTGATTACAAGCAAGATTACAACATTCAACTTGATTTTCAATTCTCAACCTTAAAAGAAATTCCATCTACTATGTGATCGATGTGATCTTGATCCAGCTGGCATGTTGCGAAGTTAAAATAGTTGAGTAATTTAACCAAAGCAAATATTGATCTCAATAACAAAATAAGTTATTTATAAAATGCAAACAATCGCATGCAATATAAACTTATCCTAAATTATAAATTTGGTATATATATTTAACTAGTTGACCCGTGCGAATACTCCGCACAAAACCTTGTATTTGTAAGTTCCATTCAGTAATGTTTCTATGCAAAGGTTTAATAATTTTATTTAGTAAGTTATCATTTTATAAATGTAATAATCTATACCTATACATAGGTTAACCCTTTCTAGTTTCATTAAATTTATTATTATAATATTATATTTTTTCTTAAATTAACAACAGCTTCTAAACATTAAATTTCTGATGAAGATTAAATACTTTGGATTTAGTTCTCTGGAAGGTACGTTTTGACCTAGCAGACTGTATTTACAAAATATAAAAATAAAATTAAGAAATAAATGTTTCTTTTATCATTAAAAATAATCAAGTAAATTTTTAAAATGATAAACATCTATAAAAGCTTATATACAGATAATATTTTATTTAAAATGAAGTATATAACATTTAACAAAACCAAATGTTTTGAAATTAGCTAGAATAATTACTTATTGATAAAGTGTATACTGTCACAGAAAGATAAGGGTCATTGCTTAAAAATTTAAATTCCGTATGAGGAGCAGAAAAGAAAAAAGGGTCGATTAAGAAATACTTTTATGTTATTTTCTGTTAAATAAGAAAATTTACTAATAAATTTATAATATCAAGGAAAAAGCTTTATTTTACCCTTATATATTTATTCGATGCTTTAATTCATTTAAATGATCCAAGCATGGAATATATATATATATATATATATATATATATATATATATATATAATGGTAAAAAAAGGTTTTTCCTCGCTATTATGAATTTTAATATTAACATATACCCCTAAAAAATTTTTAAGAATCAGAGAAAGAATAAAATTCTACAGAAATATACTTGATAAAAACAATCATTACTTAGATTTAAAGTATTTGAGTAATCCAAAACCGAAATGAAGAAAAAAATCTTTAAAGTAGAATTAATACTAAATGTTTAGAACACTATATCTTTGCACCACATAATCTGATTTCGATTTCTTTAATGTTTTGTAGGGAATATAGTAAGCTTCCAAATACTCATATGCATAATAAGCAAACAATTGTGTCTTTTTTGAGATATTCCCTAATTATGACTCCATTTTTAACGTCTCGATTCGTTAAGAAGGCACCATCATAGGGTTTGAAACCCTCCCACTTTTACATTCACTTTTATTTAATTCCAGGTATAAAATTAGGAATCAAAAATACGATTTGCATACTCTATGTGATATTCTCTTTCTATTGATACCTCCATCACTGCTGAGAGCCGGAAAAGGGTTATATATTTAAGAAATAATATATAAGAAGAAAGAAGTAATAAATGAAGATGAATGAAAACAATTACTATTTATTGTTGTTATTTATGGCCTAGAAGCGTAAAACCCAGAGGTCATCAGCATCAATATTCTTATCTATATCTATATTTCAACATCATTTCTTATCTTTTATCACAATCTGCTTACTTTTAACTTACATGCTAAATTCACCTTTGTTTTCCATTTCCATACACACTTATTTTCTATATTTGTTTGTATCTTCTATATATATATAAATATATAAAACACTTGATATTTTAACTACACTATCACCCACTATAACTGATGATGTCATCTGATTATATCTTTATCAGACAACTTTTTATTATTTAATATCTACTAATAATTCATTTATTTTATTTTCACCGTGTACCTTTTAAATTTTGTATCTATTGTAGTCCTGATGAAGACCTACAAAGTGGGTCAAAGCGGCTTATCGATTAGAATACTATTTTAACAATTTAGTATTTATTTAGCCGCACCATCTCCCCTCTCCCCCCTCCACAAACTCTTTCTCAAGAAAAATAAATATTGTGAAATACCATTCAGTGATATAATAATTGAAGGTTTTATCTATTACTGCTTCTTTTCAACAGCTGTAAAATTTATCATTACAGTTGGTGCAAAAGGCCGTATGTAAAAATTGAGTTTTTTACAAAAGAAAAATTGATTATTTCTTTATGATTTGTAAGTAACATTAGGTCTTTTTGACTCAAGTATTGAGAGTTCATTTTTTATCACTTATTTAGAACTGTTACAGTTACTTGTCAAATACATACCATTTAATAAATTATTATGATTGTTCTATGGAGGTTACAACCTGAATCATAAAATTATTGTTTGAGTGTGAAATTAAAAAATTTCTTAAAATTAAATAATATTCTTTCGTCACAAATGAAGGGCTTTAACTTTTTACATGCATTTGTTCAAGAAGTGTAACATACATTAAACAAATATTTTGGACAAACTTAATCATTATTTTTTGTTAAAAAGAATTTTTTCCCATCAAAACAAAGGTTGAAATAATTTTTATTAATTTTTTCAATGAAGATTTTATCACTCATAGTTCGGTAAATAAAAAGTTAAAGTTCCTAATTTTTTAGTGCTAAGAGGTGTATTGATTTTTTTTTTTTTTTTAATACTACAGCAATAAAATTTAATTAGAATATTTATTTAATTGATTGTAAAAGATTACTGAAAATAATGTATTGTTGAAAATTTAAATAAAAAAATTCTAAGAATCAGTCTTAATAATTTTAATTTTAATATATTCCTTGTATATAATTAAATATGAATATATTTAATATTCCATGAAAAAAGAAGTGGAATATTTGAATTATCTAAAATCATTGAGTGGTGGTGAATCGGAAAATAGAGCATGTCATTCCAAAGGATGTTTGTGGGCAAGTTGCATTATTAAAAAAAAAAAAAAAATACTGATGTTAATGGTACTTCTGACGATCGACCTTCTTCTTCTCAAGACAAGCCTTTTTCTTCCGAAGAACAAGCTTCTTCCAACACAAAATATCAATGTAAAAGAAAGCAAGAAACACATTCATATTGATTCTTTCCCCCAATATTATGGATTGTAAATCCTATATTAGCATAACAAATTTTTTTTTATACCGTCTTCTTTCATACGCATTTTCTATTAATTCTTTTACAAACAATTATAATGTTTTGCTATAATGTAATAATTTGTTATAAATGTTAATAAAAACAACACTATTCTTGTATTGATTATTCTAATACAATTATTAAGAAAAAAGTTCTTTGTATAACAGAACTTCTGGAATAAGTTGGAAAAGTGCAAAGGGAATATTTTTTTTTTTTTAGGTTTTTTAAGGAACTATCTAAACTGAACCATATTGATACCAATATTACAGAAAAAAAATAAGATTTCTACTGGCTGCATGGAAAAGGTTAAAATGATGATGAAGAAAAGAATATTACATAGAAAAAGGAAATGTTTCCGAGGACACAACATGGAACTTTAAATTTACAAAAATGGTAAAGCTATGTGTAGGTATAACCTAAGATGTTATCACCAAAATATCAACACATATATGTTAAAAGACGCAATCAAATTGAGTGTGGGACAAGAAGTATGCTCGACTCATATCTTTGCGAGTTTGTTTGGAGAAGATATGAAGGATTTAACAGGCAATGAGAAACTTTTGACCTCCTGAAAACTAATATTTTTAAATATTTAGATATCTTCTAATAGTTAAAGATAAGCTATTTTTTGTTAATCTATTATTTAATAACAATTTTCAGTACTTCTTGTCTAGGGGGCCAGACTGAAACCTCACTTCTTATCTATCTTATCTAACGTCACGTCACATAACCTCCCTCTTCTTATCCCGCCAAACCTTTGAGTTATTGCATTGTTTAGTTTTCAGTTATTCCCTTATTATGTTCACTTATTAAATTCTTTACTTTTGGTCCCTTTGTGTTTATTTTCGTCATATTATGGATTTTCTTAGAACATGGGATTTGCCGCCTTCAGAAGAACAGGCAATTCAATATTTTTAAAATGTTGGGGTACTTGCCGGCGTGAAATTGTGTGAACGAGGTCATCGAATGAAGTTAACCAGGAAGGCCAAATGGAGATGCTTTCGTAGGACTTATGACACATAACTTTCAATAAGGAAAGGAACATGGTTGGAGGGCTCGAGGATTTCGTTTTTAACAGCTTTAAAATTGATTTATGTGTGGTCCCATAGCTTGACAACGATGAAGTGGGGCAAAGAGCAGCTGAAACTATCCTACGAAGCAAAGGTAACGTGGAACAAATGTCTAAGAGAGGTTTGTGCCCATGACGTTATACAGGCCAAGAAAAAAAATTGGAGGACCTGGCAAAGTGGTTGAAATAGACAAAAGTCTTATTTCTAAACTAAAAAAAATCATGTGGGGAGAGTTTTACCTCAGCAGTGGATGTTTGGTGGAGTTTGCTGAGAAGCAGATGAATGTTTTATCTTTTTATAAAACAGATTTTATGTTTTATATTTTTTCTTTTCTATGTAAATATGTTCTTTTAAATGTGTTTTTTTTTTTTGTTTTTATCATTTTGATGTTTTATATGTACATATCTTCTTAAAGTGTTTTATTATTATTTCATTAATATATTTGTCATAAAATAAAAGTATTTTTGTTGTTATTACATTTGTTTTTGTATCTGTTTACACTTTCAATAATACAAATTTAATACAATAATACGAAGAAATGGAGTAGGAGAAGGCTTATCACTGCGTTATGGGAGTTATCAGTGTTCAGGTTATAAACATTGGCAGATAGCAGTCAGTAGCGGCCCTCTAGACGAAAAGTACCATTTTCAGCACTCCATGTATAAGTATGATTAATTTTGGCACACAAAATAATTAAGCTAACTATCCTAACAAATCATGGGTGATAAATAGTCAGGACGCAGTCATTTTATGGTTTTTATTGGTGCCGATGTTTCAACCCAAGCGTGTGGGTCATCATGAGGGCGTGCTTCGAGTACTGAAGGTGTTCAAATACTCCATGAAGTAATTAATGTTTCGAAATATAAGAATTTCACAACCAAATAAGTGTCATTTCACAAAAGGATAAGGCTATTAATACCTTAATTTAAATTTATACAGCTCGACTTATATCACAATATTGAACTGATGAATTTGAATTTAGGGTACTAGTTCACAAGAGTTCCGCACGGATTACGCGTGGTTTACAATCATTTCGATCACACTTGTTCATGGAATCCCGAAAACAGCTGAATGTTGTTGTCTTTAATGACGTCAGCTACTGCCCCATCACACAATCCCTTTTCATGCATTTAAAAAAAAAAAAAAAACTAATGTATTCCCTTCATGGAACTTCATTATTAACAATTTATTAACGAATTGTATGTTTACTAATTAGTCAATTATTAATTTTTATTATAATGGTCATCACTGTGAAAGAAAAAGAAAAAAATACATAAAATAATGTTTGAGTCGTTTCTTCATGGCCTGTTAAAAAAAAATGCTTTTAGAAATAACATTTTTATTGATACATGATTACATGTAGTGGCTGTAAATACGCATATACTGTATATTATCTTTTACAACTGTGCATAAAAGATTTTTTTATCATTTGGATAATAAATAATTTGAAGTAGTCTATTATCTTTTTATTTGTTATTCGAGTTTTTCAATAGAAGTTGGAATAATTGCATTTACAATTTATTTTAGCAAACCTTTTTTAGTTTGTCATCTATCTAGTTTATGTAATTTTTAGGATTTCTAATAATACGAGCATCCACTATTTTCTAGTGGGGGAAGGGAACGCTTTTTATGCATATACTATCTGATTTGAGATTAAGCATTAAGTTTATGTAACTTTTTTGAATTCTTAGATATACGGATCCACTATTTTCTAGTCGTCGGAGCTTTTCATGAATCTACTGTCGGATTTAAAATTATTCGTCAATTTTTGGATTTCTAAGATGTAAGAGTCCACTATTAAGTTGTGAAGGACGCTTTTTATGAAAATAATGTCAGATTAAAGATTTATGTATATACTGATAATTCCAAGATAATGAATATTGAAAATCATCAATAAGAAAAATAATATTGTGTAATAGCATTCAGAGATGTAATAATTAAAGATTTTTATCTATTACTATTTCTTTTTTACAGATGTATAACATATGTACAAGTTCAATTCAGGTTTCATGATGTGTAGCCTAATTTTCGAATGTAAAACTGCTCCTGCTATATAGCTGAACATGGTTAAGGTTATAGAAGTACTTAAATGGTGGGATTTAATAGTAACTGGCCCAAGAGATCGGTCGCCTTCGTTCTCTTTCGGATAAACCCAAACGCATTCGGGATTCCAGGAACAAGTGTGATCGAAGTGATTGTGAACCATCCGTGCGGAACTCTTGTGAACTATTACCGAATTTAGCAATAATATGAAAAAGCTCATGTAGTAACTTGCAAAATAAAAGAACTTAAATTAACGATCAAAATGATAGAACTTTAAATAAATTAATAATAATAAAACTGAAATATAATGGGATTTAACTAAAAAGTATGATAAATTAAACAAACCTTTCGTGCTAACATTAGCAACACACTTCTGAGATTTGGTGTCCCATATTCTTACACTTTTATCACCACTTGCAGTAGCCAAAAGGTCAGGATTTGTTGCATGCCAACAAAGTTGATCAACTGAACCACTATGTCCACGATATGTATGTTCTTTGGTCTATAAATAAATTTTTATTATAAAAATTACTAATAAAATGTGATAAATCATAGTAAAATAACACAACAGACCAATTTATCTTTTTCCAAGGAAAACACTGCCACTGATTTATCAAAGGATCCAGATGCTAACCTGGTCCCTGAACAGTTCCAGCCAACAGAATGTACCCTGGCACTATGAGCAGGGTATTCTTTGATTCTATCATGCGTTCTGAAATGTTTTTGCAACTCCTCCAGGCGAGAAACCGGTAATGATACCATATTTCTAGGCTACCAGGAGAAGAAGAATTAAGTTATTAAACAATAACCCAAGCGAAAAACTATATACAGGAGCATTAAAATCTACCACGAGTTGGGAAAAAATAATGTACAACTCTTCAAACACATTCACCGATTCAAGCTATCCTGTAAGCACGCCATGGAATCCAAAGAGGTACAGCAATAAATACACTTAGCACAAATACATTTAGCTCAACGAACTTTAAGTTTATATAAATATAAGTTATTCGATAATGCAGTTAACTATTACTATTTTAAGTAACACTTAAATAAGTAAATACTTAAAGGTAGAAAACAATGGAAGAGTTATGCCTTTATAAGATTGCACTTTAACTGACTATTTAGCTATATACATGGCTTCCAGCGTGCTATGTATTTTACTCAGTACACAATAATTTTTTTAGTACGTATTTATGTTTTCTAGTTTATACCTCCTTTCTATATTCTGTCTGGTCCATTCCGATAGTTTTCCAAGGCGACCAAAACTTTTTCAGGTACACTTTTAACATGAGGATACTGTGCAAAAAAATTGAAGCCTTTAAGATGCATTTAGACATTTCGCTAACTATGGGACAAATACATATATAAATGGCTATTTCAGTAAGATAATATTTTCGTTTCTTGTTTTTTATATTTTCCATCTGCTATCAGTATCAAGAGGAATAAAACAAATAGTTTAGTTTAGCAATAATGCCGCTGTTATTTAAGTTAGATAATTGTTTTTCCCATAGTTTGTGCAATATCTAAACGCACCTTTACAACTTTTCCGTCACTTAACAAACTCTGATAAGATAAAATATTGTTGGCGATGTAGAATTAAAATTCATAAGTTTACAACTCTTAATAAACTAAGTAGTCAACGTTTTTTTTATCGGGATATATGTATCATTCATACAATTACGTTTTATCTAAGGGTCATCTACGATCTTTATTATTTTTCCAAAATTAAAAGCCATAGAACCATTAAATACATTTTAAAAATAAATAATGACTTTTAATAAATTTTCTTGTAGTTTTTAGTCCATAAACGTCTGGTCTCATAACAATCTGCAAATTGACTAGTTATCAGTTCTATTCGTTTATTTTTTTAAATGCCTTGTACATATTTGTAAAGAATTGACATCTTCTTTTTATTATTTAAATACTGCCGAAAACATGGAAATATTTATATTATACAAACATGGTGCTTTTGAAACAGAAAATGAAAGTTTGTTGACAAAGGATTACATATAATTTTCGATTGGGAATCACATATTCGTCACAAATAAAACTTTTATGGCCTTAAGGACCCCTTACACACCTGGTCAATATTATTGAAGGCAATATATTGAAGGGGTACCTCACACGGGTCAATTATATTGGGTCAATATTAGATGAGATAAGATCTTGCTTCCACTAAAGAAAGAGGTTTCCAAAGAGGTAATCTTTCTTTTTTGTGAAAATGAATTTCATATTACTTTATTTGCCTTGGCTTTAGCCTTAAAAAAAAAGAAAAGTGTTATTTGTAATGTTTATTTTGTTCCTAGTCATTAAAAGGTTTCTTGTTTCAAATTGGTTCTGTTCTTGTTTCCTAATTATTTAATATTTAAAATCTCTTTAAATATTAAAGAGATTAAAGGGTTAAATCTCTTTCTCTCCTCCCCCTAATAAAAGTAAAATAAAAAAGTATCCTATTGCCAAGAGGGGCACCGGAAATTTGGTATCGGCCAAAGCTTCTCAAGATCCGTATATGTGGTTTAATATTGCTCAATATAGCCCTTATACGTATAATCATATTGACATTGTTTCAATAATATTGAAGGAGCTTCAATAAAAATTAAAAAAATTTGATATCAACCAGTTTTATTGACGTCAATATAATTGATGCCAATGTAGACTTACACGGTCTATATATTGATGAAACTTAGTTAATAGACTGTGTGAGAATTTAATTTGTAAGAAAATTAAAATTTTAATTCCAAATAATTAAAGAAAAATTAAGAATAATATTAATAAAAATAAAACCAGTATGGATGTATTCAAATTAAGTTAATCTATTTCCTCTAAATTAATTTAATCTATTCATTTTTGAAAGCTCATTCTCTGACTGAAATTCCTCATAATTGATTCTCAACTAAAATTTAAATTTATCTTTTATTTCATTCCTTTTTTTTTTCTTTACTTGTGTACACAATTTGCAAATATGTGCCTCCTTCAAAAATCCATTACCCTGTAAAAATATTTTAACATTTTTATGGCACAACTTGTGCCATTCAATAGCCTCCTGGGCACCTCTGCTGTATTATATATTCTGCAATATTGTATATAGGTATGTCTGTTTTTTTTAACGTTTTTTAATTTACTTGGTTTTAAGTTATTTTATTTGTATTTATTGTATATACTTTTTAATAATTATGTAGTTATTATTTCGCTTCTGTGTATTTTATGTTTTCTGTAGATATGGTCTGAATGTGTTCTTACCTCACCATAGGTCTGTTCCAACAAGTAGTTCTGATCCAGTTCTTGACCGATTTACTGCACTTGTTGGGTTCATGTGACTTGTTTGAACGGTTTTTTGGTAGGTTTGACCATTTTTGACATCACCAGGGTAGAAGGTTACCCATGCATGGTTTCAATCTGTTCCCAAATGAGACATTATTTTTGGGTTGCCCAGACTCTCTCTTTACAAAACAAATCAATTAAATTTTGTTTCTTTAGAAAAGTTCAGAATGAATTTAAACTTTAATACATTTATTATCTATTGGTAGTATCAAACTTCAAGATTCTCTAAAAACTTAACTTTAAAAAAATTATATAATTAAGAGGTTATGGAATATGGATTTTATTATGAGATGTCATAAAATAATGAAACTTAAGTATTTTAAATTTCACAATAGAGAATCTGTAGCAGGCGGTGATCGAATGGGAGGCTGCTGAATTAGCAAGAAAGGTTATGGCAATTAATGTCAGAAACAGCAAAGTAATGCAGATTGGACGGGATCAGGAAGTTGTTGAAATTTATTGCAAAGGTGAGGTACTGGACATGGTGGAGGATTACACATATCTGGGTGCAGTAATAAACAAGAACGGAAGGGTCGACCATGAAATTTACAACAGAATTAAAAAGGCCAATGATGTGTATTACAGCTTATGCAATACAGGGAAAAGGGAGGTAGAGAGGAATGTAAAAATGCATATTTTTAAAGCGGTATATCTACCAACCATATGTATATATATATATATATATATATATATATATATATATATATATATATATATATATATATATATATATATATATATACAATATATCTATCATATATATGGGAGTGAAAGCTGGGTCTCATTAACCAAACACCTTAGCAGAGTTACTGCTAGTGAAATGAAATATCTTCGACGTGTAGCCGGCAGAATCAGGAGAGATGTACTCCATCCACGATAATCTGGGTCTTCCCCCCATAGGATAGGATCAGGAATGAAGAAACAAGAGACGACCAAGGCACAGTCTCACTAAAGGATTCTATAGAAAAGAGGCAGCTGAGATGGTTTGGGTATGTTTGCCGAATGAATGAAGACCGTGACCCACGAAGGAAAGCGCCCAAGAGGAAGACCCAGATTATCTTAGATGGAGTACATCTCCCAGATCGGGCAGAAAAGAGGTATGAGGATAGGAGATATGAGGGCTCTAGCTCGGGACCGAAATGCTTGGGATGCATGGATCGAAGCACCTCCACGCTAAAAGGCACAAAGGAGGTAGAGAGAGAAGAAGAAGTAATTTTAATATATTTGTTTATTGGTGTCTTATTTTCTACTATATCTTTAATATAATCTAAAAAATATCTTCTACAAATCCTATTTTATTTTGTCATAAAGTTTCTGTATCTGATAAATGGTATTTGCCTTTGGATCCTGATGCATTTCACTGATAAATGCTGTAAGCTTCAGCTAAAATGTTGGTATTAAATAATTTAAGACTTCTTAATTATGTGTTATTCTATTTCATTCTGGTTGCATCCACAACTAATTTCTACATTTATAATTTAAAAATTGTATATAATCATTACTTTCTACTAATACTGAGGATCAGATTAAGCATAGAATTAAAAAGAATTCTAATGCATATGGATTAATAAAATTATTATGTTCACCAAATGACAAGTTCAATATACCACTTTGTTGTATCATGATGCTAGTCATATTTTTTACTGTTTCTGTAAAATGTTATATTTTTTTAGTTCCTTTTTTATGTTTTATTAAAAATTTCATGCTTGATCTGTAATTTGCAGTTTGAACATTTATGGTTTTGTTATGTTATTTCTAATTCTTTTATTAATTTAAATTCTTTATTCTACTAATTCTTTGTTTTATCTCTTCTAATTATTACTAGGATGTGAACATTATATAAATTTAGATATTAGTAAAAGTTGATTGGGATGAAATTAAATTACACATTAATATGAAACCTTATTTTATTTTTGTTGATGTTTCAAACCAAGTTTCAGGCCTTCATCAAAGCATAAGGCAAATTCTATTTATCAGATATACAACTCTTAAATATGAGGACACCATAATATCAAAAATTAGTTATATTAAAGTGGTCACTAAGTAAAAATTTCTATTGTGAATTTAAAAATACACATAGTAGCCTAAATAGACAATTTTATGAAATCTTATAACCCATACTCCAAAACTACATTATTTTTCTTAAGTAATGTTTTGAGTTGATCTTAAAATTTGATAATGCACCCTGATGTAGGCCTTAAGCTTGGGGACAACAAAATAAGACTTCTTAGTAGTTAATTATATCAATTTCATCTCTGACGACCACACTCCAATCAACTTCTAATATTATTTGATCTAAAGTCAATAGTATTAGACACTATTATAAATTAAGACAATTTTTCACATAATATCAAAAATATCTCTCTTATTTTTCACTTAATTACTGTTCTGTATAATGTTCTTGTGAATGATTTTAATTTTAATAATGAAGTTTGGAGACT